AGGGATTGAAAGCAGTCTGTGGACCTGACCCATAGTTCTTAGTGCTGTTAGCCTGTACCTACTCCTTGCTGCAGTTCCCTTGACTGTGAGGATGTTGTGGCTGGTTGAGAGGGATGGAAGAGAACTGCTTTTTGTGCCAGCTGTCCTCAACAGGAGGCCTGGTCTTGTGCTTACTGGGGCAGATTAGCCTAGGCATGGTTAGGATGTATTGTTTAGGGAGCATGTGTGACTCAAGCTATTTTTTTTTTTTTTTTTTGGTTTTATCAAGTCTAGCACATGAATCTCCATGGATATGGGTCCAGCCTGCCCCTCTTGTCCTTCCAAAAAACAGGGCCTGATGTGTTTTATTTACTGCTGTTGCTTTAGGATCCATCCTCCTAAAAGGTGTCAGTAGTCCTTCTTTGGAGCTGCTTCTGCTAGTGTTGAGAATGAAGCACACCATATTACCTGCCTTCCACTACAACAGTGATGAAGTCTTTACAGTCATTGTCTGGACAGAGATGCATTACGTTTTTTTCTGCTCTTCTCATCCTATATTCTGTTGAGTAGTTATTGTGCTAATGTAAGGCAGAATTGGGATTCAGACCATTTTTTAAAAACAGTACTAATGCATGAACTGAAAATAACACTGTTTTGTAACCAGTTTATTAAGGTATTCCTTTAGGATACTGTTATATATAGTAGCAATACTTCTAATATATGTGTATCAGAGACAGTGCATTTATTTATTTTGTTAGTTTTACCAAACAGAAAGTACGTTTTAGTTCTAAATAGAATGCCATTTTCATAACTTGCTGTTTACAGCCTCTGGTGATACACATTCGAAAGACATCTCAGACCACATTTGACCACATTCATTTTGACCACATTTGTGAAGCTTAGTAACTGCATGTGAATGTGTCAGTGGCCAGAAAGCAGTGAGAGGAGGCAGAGAACAGCTGCACTACAGAGTATTTCTCCCTCCGTAGAAATAAAGAAATAACTGTGAGATGTTTCACGGTTTTGTCTGCCTTGCTACGCTGTCTAGTTGCTGCTGGAGCAGTTAGCCTTACTGATAAGCAGAGGCATTATGTCTATGAGCTAACTTGACTAGTGTTGCTGAGGCATCGACCATGAAAGAGGGTAGAAATGATGAGTTCCTATTTATTGCAGGGATTCCCATAGAGAAGATAATAGTTTGGAAGGACTCCTAAGTCCTCATTTCTGTGTACCATTAGGCAGCACTGCAAAGGACAGTGCAGCCCAGTTAGCACAGTTTCAAACTGCTGTGCCTGGGCTTCTTTTGTAGATGCTCTTACAAAGAGTAGAAGTGCAGGTTCACGGACAATGTAGAAGGCTCTCTAAAAACCTCCCAGTTCTGACTGTGGTTTATCACTACCATTTCCCGTCCCATCTCTTTCAGATACTATGTGATAAACTGGGACACTGTTTCTCCACAGACATTGTATAAACGTAACAGAAGAGCTTATCAGGGAAGAGTGTTTCTCAGGTACAGTGCACTGAAGTTCCCCTGGTGCTGGCTGGGTTCATTGTTGAAACTGAATAGACGTAAATGGCTTTGATATCTGTTTTGGCAGTACGACCTTGGAGCTAGCAGGGACAGTATTCTTCCTCCGGCATGAAATGTGAATTTGCAGCAGCTGCAAGAAGGAAGGGTGGAATTGATGAGTACTTATCAGTGTTGCATCTGGTGCCTCATGCCCAAAGGCTGACAGATTAATCTGTCTGTGACTTTTAACTCTTTCTGTGCAATGCCAGGTGAGGCATGCATGTACATGCTCATGCATTCAGAAACAGAAGGAGAAGGTCTTTCATTTGGTTTAAATGGCCAATTTCTGTATGCTTTACATCCAGCTGGGAAATCGGAGGCTATGCCAGAAGACTCATTCACCTTCCACAGTGACAATTTCAATAAATTCTGCAAGCCTCAGTCTAGGTTTGGGTGGCTCATCATGTGCATGTGTACAATACTCCAGTTGGTTGGCTTTCCAGCCAGCTTGTGTTCCTGGGGACTATAAAACCCGGCCCTAGGAGCTTGGGCTGGGATTTGGGCTGCCATTTGACTATTTTTAGGATAAGCCAACATTTCTAAGCTGTATGGGCATCCAACTCTGTTAATATTTGTAGTTTAGGTTTGAGTTGTTCTTAATCCTAGTAAGGATGTGAGGAAGTTAAATATATTTATTTTTTTATAAAGGCTTTTAGCTTTTTTTGTTTGTTTGTTATTGTTTTTAATCAAATTAATGTGTTGAGTGTTTGTTTTCTGAACACAGGGAATCAAGTTGATCATTTTTTACATGATGGCTTTTGGGGTGTGTGTGTGTGTGTGTGTGTGTGTGTGTGGTAGAGATGAATGATAATACAAGGATGACAAATAAAACAAAAAATCAGAATTCCCTCAAAAGTTAAAGTTTTCCAAGTTTTCATTGTCATGGACCTAATTCACGTCCATGGACCTAGTTCATGTCCACAGATCTGAGGAGAACTAGGTAAGACCCCAGAAGCTTTGCTCCCCAGACTTCACCTCTTAGTTCTCTTGTTGACCTGCTGTAGAGCTGGTAGGGAGCATGCTGCTCTCCTGAAATTTCAGCAGTCCTGCCTCAGCATCCATCCTGTATTCAGAGGCACCACAGAGATTTTGTCAAGGTTCAGCTGAGCAGGCAAAGACTGAGACTGAGAAAGCACTGGTGTTGGTGTTTATCCTTACAGTTAGTCTTTTTCCTTTCATGCAAGAGGGTTGCTGTGATAGCATTTTTCTTCACAAGCAGAATTGGAAATACAGAAATAAATTACAGAGAACCAGGATGTCTTCTGTCAGGATAAATGTTTAATGAGAACAAGGTTGTGCTCATTCAGAGTCACAAGGACTGATACTGATGTACTGTGTGTATGCTAATTTTAATATATAAAATACATGCTTGAACTTAAAAATGCAGAGTGAACAGCCTCAAGGGCAAGTGTGTATTAAGTCTCTGACAGCCCTCTCTGAAGGTGATGATAATGTGAAAGTTTCTTTTTTTCCAAGCCATTTTAATTCACCCAACAATCAGTCAGGAAACGCAGAAGTGTTCTTCCAATCTGTTCTTGGAGAGGTATATTTTTTCATATTGCATCCAGACCCTGTTCCCTCTAAACAGTACCTACAGTACATGAATTTTTTTCTTTTTTTTTTTTTCCTTCCTGCTAATTTAAATTAAAAAGAAAAAATCCGAATAGTGATACTCAAATTTTTCTTTTGTTTGAACAGCATGTAGGAATTAGAGCAAAGTGTGTCTGTGTTGCTGTGTATGATCATACTGGCTAACATGAGTTACCTGGTGACTGTTACAAGTTAACTGCAACTTGCAAGTTCTTTGCAAACATAAATAGGACCAAAAGGCATGATTTATGGGTTTTTAGGTTATCTTTCCAAGGATATGAAATAGACAGGCTTGCATGATTGCATTATTCAGTACTTCAGATAGCAAAAAAAAAAAAAAAAAAATCCTGTTTTTTTTTTTCCTTACCACTTACAATTCTTAAATAATTGGTCAGTCTGTTGCAGCATCCAGGATTTTCCATGTCTGCACAACTTGTCTTTTAAACCATGGGGTCTCTTGCTTACTACTTCACTGATCTTGGCTCTTACTGTTCTTCCGTCTTACCAAAAGCCTGTGCCTTTCCCTTTTTAATATCAGATATCTCTAAATTTTTGTTTGCCTGCTTAGAGAATTTCCTGCTCTCTAGATCAATTTCCCTGAAGGTAAAATCAATTAAAATATATAGGCTGCTCCAAAAGTAATGCCTTCTATTTATTTCCATGGAAAGAACAGATACAAAAAGCACAATGACACTATTTGATAGAGCAAATTCTTGGCTACAAAACACTGCTTTTTGATGTAGTTGCCACCATTAGCTGATTTGAGCAGATAAGCTGATAGAGACTCTTAATTTCGTGGTGTGACAGCAGTGCACAGCCATCTGGAACATGGCTGGACTTTCATGCTGCTGTACACTGCTGAAATTCACCACCCGCCGCCTCGCTGTGCTCACAGCTGCTGTTTGGTATCCATAAGTGTTCAGCAAGCATTGATGAATGTCAATGGGTGCAATTATTTCCACATGAAGGATTTCAGTGACACACCTTTGCACTTCCTTATCAGGCATCATTTTATCAGACTGCTCCTCTGCTGCTATCTGTCACACAGCAAAAAAAAAATAAAGTAAGGGAATATGGATGGGAAGGTTCAACCTCTACAGCCATGTCACTATCATGACATGCTTCCGGTATCATGGACTAAAAGAACAAAATAGGAGGCATTACTTTTGGAGCAACTCCCATAGTTTCCCTGCTCAAAATGCTATTTAGAATACCTTTTAACTTTCCAAAGCACAGTCATTAAGGCTATATTATCTCTCGGTTGCTTTGTAAGTGTCTTCAGACTGGAGAGTGGTACATAATGGAGGCCTCTAAAGATTGTTTCTAATTCACTGTGCATTGATGTGTTCATTGGTTTATCCAATCTATAAAATGGAAGTATAAATAGACTTTCAAATCATTACGTAACAGTAGAATTGCCTACCATTTATATAGAAGACACTGGTTGTTCCCCTGTACAGCCTCTAATGCATTTTGTGAACTTGGATGACCTCTCTCTGCTTCAGTTTTTTCATTTCTAGAATTGAAATAGTGGGATTTGCCTAACTAACTTTCATAGTGAAAGGCTCAGTATATGTAAAATGCTTTCCAATTCACAGGTTAAAAGGATTGGGATACAGAAACATTTATATTTAAGTTACTGCTAAAGAAAAATCTCAGATATTTGATGTGGTAGGAGATTTTCCTGTATTTAAAATAAGAGAGCAGACATACTATGTTAAAGCAGTAGCTGTAGACTGAGATCAGAGCAAACTGTTGAGGAAAAAGCTATTATTTCTTTGTCTGGGTCTGCTTTCATATGCTTCTGTTTAGATAAGGACTGTAATACAATCTGTTCTCTTTCATTGTTTGGTTTATGCAGGCACAGGCTTGCTACAGGAAGTGGTTTATCTAGTGAGTCAGGGAGCTGATCCAGATGAGATTGGACTAATGAATATAGATGAACAACTTCCAGTCCTAGAGTACCCTCAGCCTGGTCTGGACATCATCAAGGTACAATTTATTACAAAGAAACTCGCTCAGCATTTGGATATCTTTTTGTAGGCTTCATGTTTATCACTTCATCTCATCCTGTGCCCTTGTCCTTGTTCAGTTTGTTGGAATGATTCAGAGTATTATTACGTTATTTTGAAGTTGGTTTTATTAATCTTGATTATATTCCAGTGCTTTAAAACATATTTCTCAATGTCCTAAACATATTGACAGCAGATTTCTTGAAGAAAAGAGTTATGTAAATGGAAGCTCTCCAAATGAGACTGATTTGCTCTGATCCTTTCCCTGAATTTGCAGAAGATCTACAAATGCAGAGATCTGTGAATCTGTAGGCACTCTACTCTGAATTTGAACATACAGCTCCCAAGAGACTCAGGGTCTGTGGATCTATGAACTCTGTAGTGGAGTTAGAGGAGTTTGGAGTATTTTGCATGAAATGACTTTGGCATTGTTAAGAGTTACTCAGATTAGTGGCATGGCATGTTAAGTGTGATCTTGTTATTGCTCTAACTACTTTAGATACAGGTCTAATCATTCCAAGATATGCAAAATACCAGGCTCCATCTGAAGACTGCTGCAGTGCTTGCTGATTTGAGCTAGCTAAGGCTAGTATGGATAGATCAAAGCTGGTTCCAGTCACTTACTACTGCAGCATTTGGCCCTCTTTAGGATGATTATTCAGGGGCCAGAGATTACTTTCCTTTTTTGCTTTGTGACCCTAGTCTAGTGAGACCTCAGTGATATGTCAATGCAAATAAGCAGGAGCAATAGTGAGAGGTTTAGTTTGAGATCACGCATTGTGGATACTCTGCTAACAACTCAATCCAGTAGTAGTTTATGCAGCTTTTAACTACTGGAAGATGATCTTGTCATAAGACTTTTTTTTTTTTTTTTTCCAAATTATGATTGAAAAATACCTTTAAAACTGTTTATGTGCTCAGGTAAACCTTTGAATTGTCTGGGTCCAATTCTGAGGCTAAAATAAGCTTTGGATTATAATTTTGAAGTTGAAAAATTAAGGATAGGGTTTTTTGAAGCTGTTCATTCAGCCCTTTTAATGTTTTTCACTGAATTTTAGTGGGAGTGTCAGTGAAAACAAGGTCAGTTTTATGCTAAGAATCTTCAACCCTTCTAGTCTTCCTAAGAGGATCCTACAAATTGGAGTAGTTTCCAAGACCCATCCTTTTGGTTTAAAACAGATTAAATTCTCTGACCTAATTTCTAGTCCAGACCCCTATTAATTTAAGAAGTGAATTTCTGCATGTGGCTCAGTAAAGTAAAGGACATCAGTTCAGGAGAACTCAGGATGTGCCAAAAAACTAATACATAGTTTCTTTGCTTTATTTTAGGAACTGACATCTCCTCGCCTCATAAAAAGCCACCTACCGTATCGTTTTTTGCCTTCAGACCTCCATAATGGCAATTCAAAGGTAAGAATTAATTCATGCTTGTCTAACTGAACCAGCAACAATTATTTATGTGCTTAGGGAAACGGAAAAAACAAACTTTCATTAAGATGATTTCCCTCCTTTGTCGTAGGTAATATACATGGCTCGCAACCCCAAAGACCTGGTGGTGTCTTATTACCAGTTTCACCGCTCCCTAAGGACCATGAGCTACAGAGGAACATTTCAGGAGTTCTGCAGAAGGTTTATGAATGACAAGTGTAAGGAGCGACTGTCTGTGCACATGTTGTTACACACTTATTTTCATCTCTGCAAGTACAAAAATGAAGTAGATAAAGATGCATTTATTTTGTTTATACTGCAAGGAGGGTACTAGAGATACAGTGCTGCATGAGCTTAGATTTGTCTGTGCAAACTGTGGCCATATCTTGTAAATAACTGTCTTACAATATTTGACCCTGTGGGATCAATTGTGTTTGACTTCACTCAGGTAAATTCTAGTTTGCATGAGACTGAGCTCATGCATCAGTAGGAATACAGTAGTAAGTTACCTGTAAGAAGGTAATTGCAGGCTGAAAATTTACTACTGTAATGTAACTTGTGTTACAACAGCTCATCAGCTGCTTGCTCAGTAACTTCTGTGAGTGAAGGCTGTTTCATTACATACCAACCCACTGTGTTCCCTTCAGGCTGCACTACCTTAAGTAGCTCCATTGCACGAACTTAGTAACATTACAGGGAGTGAAGGCTTGTTCTCATGTAAGTAGCTGTCACTGAGCTTTTTGCCAATGGATTGCCACGCTTTGTAGCTTGCAAGATCAAAAAACAGAACAATGCAGGTTTTTTTTTTACTGCATTCTCTTTCTCTATAAAATCTTTATGCACCCTAATGTGATGTTAAGAAGTCACCAGACACTTTGGTCAGCTCTGAGACAAGGATCTCCTCTAGATCCAGAAAATGTTATTTCCATCTGGAATTTGGGGGACTTGATGCTAAAGAAGCTGTATAATACTAAAGGAAAGGAAAAAGGTAAAAGCCTGCCAATGGAGGTTAGTTAACAGGCTTTATAAGGCTTGCCACTTTCTTTTGTGCAGGAGGGTAAATATCCTTCCATTCCCAACCCACCTTCAACTTTTTTTTCTGCATTCCCCTAGAATGGGAATCTTGTTTGCAACCCATGAGCAGGAGCTTCTACATTGGAGACATATTAAAGATAGGTTCTTCTAAGATGGGAGGAAGGTTCTTCATTCTTTTTCATGTAAAATATCCCAGGAGCTATTTAGATCTTTATCTTATAGCAGCTATGTGATTTGTCATTACCTTCTAGAGTCAGTAAAACATTGCAGTGTGTTCTGTGTCCGTAATTATGCAAAGTGAGTGTTTCGTAATACAGTAAATATGGCACTTATTTAAGTGATTCCATCTCATGGAAGCAATATAGAAGCAAAAGTAAGCATTCAAAGTAGTGCAAGAAGGAGAAGCATTAAATCCAAATGACACAATCCCATTTTTTTTACCCGTTATCTTATATCTGTCCATCTGGAAACAGATTTAGTACATGCTAGCTCTTATGCTAATGGGGGATTGATCTTAAATATGATAATTCTTTGTCACTACCCTCTGGAACTTAAGGGAATTTCTTACATAAAATGCAGGTAAACTCTATTATCATAATGTTAACGGATTCTTGCCCTGTGCAGTTAGGAGCAGCTAGCAAAAGGGTTTTTTGCTTGACTGATGTGTAAGCTCCATGCATGAATTTCTTTAAAATTATAAAGAATAGAAATGATGTTTAATACTTTTCTGAAGTTGTTTTGTTGTAAGGATAAAAATATCAATACTGAGAAAATGTGAAGAACTGCTCACTGTATTTGCTTAGCTTCTACCTTGATTATCTGAGATACTTTGAGGAAGTGCCATTGTGCCATTGTGGCCAAGAAGGTATCCTGAGATACGTTAGAAAGAACATGGCCAACAGGTCAGGTGATCCACTTCCTCTACTCTGTTCTGCTGTGGCCACATTTAGAGTGCTAAGTGTCCAGTTCTGGGCTCCCCAGTTCCAAACAGATAGGGATCTCATAGAAGGAGCTCAGTGGAGAGCCACAAAGATGATAAAACTCCTGGAGCATCTTTCATATGAGGCAAGGCTGAGTAACCTGGGTCTGCTCATCCTGGAGAAAAGAAGACTGAGAGGCGGATCTGATAAATTTTTATAAATAGCTAAAGGGAGGTGGGGGGCAAATGGATGAGGCCAGACTCTTCTTGGTGGTCTGTAGCAATAGGACAAGGAGTAGGGCCTAGAACTTGAATGTTGAAAGTTCCATACAAATATTTGGAAGATCTTCTTTAGTGATGGAGCACTGGAATGGGTTATCCAGAGAGGTTGTGGAGCCTGCTATGGAGATGAATTCAAGACCCATCTGGACATCTACCTATACAGCCTATTGTAAGGTACCTGCTTCAGCAGGAGGGTTGGACTTGATGATCTCTTGAGGTTCCTTATAACCTATGCAAGTCTGTGATTCTGTAATGCATTTCTCCTTTGCTTTCCTTTCTGATACTGTTGGTAGCAAAACACACTCTTTAGATAATAAATGCCAGTGTCTGTACCTCTGCTACACACAAAGATAGACAAAAATCAGTCAAATGTGGATTTTGTCGGAGAAGTGGAAAATAAAGCAGGAAAAAAATTGAGGGGATTGGAGCTTCTATTAACCACTGCCTCAGCAGTGCTGGGAACATGGGCCCTCCTGGTGTACCAACTGAGCTACAATATATCTGAGACCATGTTCTGGCATACCTACCTAGGTTGCATGGAAATGCTAAGAAAGTAACAACAGAAGAGAATAAGTCTTAGATTTTAGAGGAAGCAAAAGATAAATAGGATATTCTATTGGTACACCTTTAGTATTCTGAGAATGACAGTGAAGCATATTAATTTGTGTGTTTCTTCAATACTTGTGTAATAAAGGATAATGGCTGTTTGCAGTTCTTTGTCCGTCACAGCAGATGCTTTATGGAATTTTCCACTATATATAGATTTCCATTACATGTGTTGTCTGTGCTTTGAGTAATGGAAGGTGCAGTCTGATAACGCCAACTGCAGGAATTCGCACAGGTCAGAGCCACTGAAAATTTACTTTTTGCAAATATATCTCTGTAATTTTTATATTGGCTCAACTTTGGTGCAGTAGTCAGGCATTACTAATGCTGAGCTCCCGAGAGGCCCATAGTGAAATATGGTTGCACTTTCAGTTGAGCATTTTTTCTTTAGGTTAGGTTAGCTCTTTTGAATATTCCAAACTGGTAGAAATATTCTTTTCCAATTAAGTAAGTCACTGTGCATGGCAATGGAGCAAAACTAGACAACTCTCTTAAGGCTGTTAATCACCCAAATTAATTTAGTTTTCATTTTTACATTTTTGAAGGGGAATTAATAACAACAGTATTAATATTTCCTCATGCCAATCGTAATATCTTCTGTATCTATAGTAGGATATGGTTCGTGGTTTGAACATGTCCAAGAGTTTTGGGAACATCATATGGATGCCAATGTACTTTTCCTCAAGTATGAAGATATGCACAAGGTAGGTTAGATGTAACAAAGAGGTATTTTAAACATTTTAAATGTCATAACATGTAAAATATATGAAGTTTAAAAATTGTTTCTTGTGCCCATGTTTGGGCTTTCTAATCTCTGATACTATTTTTAAAGCAGTGGCATTCATAGCTTCCACAAGCACTGTTGTGAACCTAGTAATTTATTCAGGAATCTACCTGCTTGCATAGGTGGTCAACAGTTCACACAGAGCAGGTGCTCTTGCTACACATCCCTTGACTTTCATTTAAAATAAGTGTCTTATTGTGTGTTCTGTATCAGTGAGAACTGAAGTCTCTCTCATTAGGGGTTTGTCTTACATATCTCACAATTATTCTGATTATTTGGTTGTCCTTACTGTCTGCTGTGAATCTGTCTTAAAAACAATTTGAGGTGATGATGTAGCATGAGGTGAACTTCTAGGGTTGTTACAGCATGCTGGCTGATAAATCCACTTTATTTTTAATCAGAAATGTAATGAAAGTACTACATTGAACATTATTTCCCATTTCCTATATAGCAGTAATATATTTTTGAGGATTAATAAACATTTTCAAAGTGAGCACTGTTCCCAAGGGTTCATCTTGGGACTGGTACTCTTTAACATCTTTATCAATCACATAGATGATGTGATTGAGTGCACCCTTGGCAAGTTTTCTGATGACACCAAGCTGAGTGGTGTGGTTGGTACAGCTGAAGGGAGGGATGCCATGCAGAGGGAGCTTGATAAACTCAAAAGGTGGGCCCACGTGTACCTAATGAGGTTCAACAAAGCAAAGTGCAAGGTTTTGCACTTGGGTCGAGGTAATCCCAGATATGTATACAACCTGGAAGAAGAACACCTTGAGAGCAGCCCTGCTGAGAAGTACTTGGGGATCCTGGTTGATGAAAAACTAACATGAGCCAGTAGTGTGCTCTTGTAGCCCAGAAGGCCTGTGGTGTCCTGGATTCTGTCAGAAGAGGAGTGGCCAATAAGGTGAGTGAGGGAGGTGATTGTCCCCCTCTACTCTGCCCTCATGAGGTTCCAGCTGGTGTACTGTGTCCAAGACTGGGGCCCCTAACATGGGAATGGTGTGGAGCTTTTGGAGAGCGTACAGATGAAGGCCAGAAAGATGATCATAGGGCTGGAGAACCTTTCCTATGAAGACTGGCTGAAGGAACTGGGCTTATTCATCTTGGAAAAGAGAAGGCTGCAGGGAAACTTCATTGCAGCCTTTTAATATTTAAAGGGAGTTTATAAACATGAGGAAAATCAACTTTTTACAAGGGTAAATAGCAATAGGACAAAGGGGGATGGTTTTAAACTAAAGGAGGAGAGGTTTAGATTTTATGTCAGGGGGAAGTTTTTTGCTGAGGGAGTGGTGAGGTGGTGGCACAGGCTGCCCAGCAGTGTTTAAGAGGACCTGGGCAATCTGATCTAGTACTTGATCTGCCTGTGGCAAGGGAAGTTGGAACTTGATGATCCTTGAGTTCCCTTCCAACCTAAAGCATTCTATGATTTCTATGATATTTGACTGGAAAATTAATGCAGACATAGGATGAACCCAGCTCCTATGTCTAAGCCTCCAGAAAGGCAAGAGCAAGATAGAACTCTATAAAGCTGAATAAATATACAATTTCAGCTTATATTTTTCTTGTACTTTCTGACAGAAGATGTAGTGAAACAGAATAATGATGCTAATTTACAATTTTGAATAACGTTTTCATTCTCATCTGTGCATTGAGGGATGCTGCTGAAAGCTGGTAGCATCACAGCATCTGTGTACCTTCCTGCTTGTCCTCCTCTAATTACTTGGAATGTGAGGGCCTATTCTCAGCAAATCAGAAGGTGGCAGCATTTTAAGACAGTGATGCTTCTGGAACTTCTTCATTGGTATTTTTCACATTCGTCATGATGAAATTGTTTTGAAATATTGAAAATCATTTTATAAATTCGCTTGAAATACTGCAAAATAAACTCATCTTTAAATGCTCTCTTACAGGACTTGGCAACAATGGTTGAGCAATTGGTGAGATTCTTAGGAGTTTCTTATGACAAAGCACAGCTGGAATCCATGGTGGAACACTGCCATCAACTCATTGATCAGTGCTGTAATGCAGAAGCACTTCCTGTTGGCAGGGGTATGTTTAAAACCCACAGTAAAAATCTTAAGAGTGGAAGTTGAAAAAAGCAACTGACAGCTTAGAAACCTTCAAGATACGTTAAGGTGTTGGCAAAATGTTGATACATAAATGATGAGAGGAAAACTGATTTTTGGTGTAATTTTGGGAGTTGTTTTGTAACAATGATAGAAATGACTAAAAAAAACCAGGAACATTCAAGCTCAACAGCTTATATGCAACACTATCCAAACTGCTCTGTTTAAGCAGACAAGATGTCTTTGGCTTAATTCAACTGAATATGCTATTGATGTCGAGAAGACCACTTAGCTCCTTCTGACATTTGGAATATCAAAGCACGTACAATTACTCGCAGTTTGTCCTGGCTTAAAAACCTTTGTGTTTCCTTGTATGAGATTCTCTGGAAGAGCAGGTAATTCTAATTTGAAGTCATCAAATGGCAAGAACATCTAGTTCTTCTCATGTGCTTTTTTCATTGTCTGCCTTGGCTGTCTAAAATGTGTGTAGCTTATAGATGTTTGTTCTTTTGAGGCCTTTCTGCAGGAATCCAAAGTGCTCTTTGATCTAGTCTAGTCCTTTGTTAGTGTCAAAAAATCAATTCTTTTCTAATTCTTCTTTCTGATAAGCATAGAAGAATAAACTCAAGAAGCCCTTCAACTTACTTAACATAGCACTTAACTTTTTTTGAAAATGAGGACTTAAGAAAGCGATGGAGAGTTCCTGTGTCAGCATCACAAGTGCCTTTTCCAAAGTGAAATCAAACTAAAGAGATCACTTTAGCCACTCATACAATTCAACTTGAACTGGAACTTTTGGTTCCCTTCGTTTATCTGTCTGTAGCCATGTTACCACTTCTTGTTACAGCATCATGCATAAAGCTCATGCTTATCATGGCTGCAGAGTCTTTTCAGTGGTTGTGGTTTAAAGGTTATTGTCCCTTACGCAGGCAGTGTGACCTGAATACTTTGTTCTTAGGTTTCTGTGTAGGAGCCCTTTCCACATGACTTCTCTCAGCCAATCTTGTTGTTATCTGCAAGTTTTCTTAACTGTAATTTTTACACGTATTTTCAAATGTCTGATAAAAACGTCAAATATCATCAGTCCTTCTTGACTACTTATTTTAAGTAGTTTATTATACACTTATCATACATTTTATTTATTAGTGTGGGGCTGGCTGACAGATATCCACCAAGCTGCTTTCTCAGTTCCCTTCAGCAATATTGGTGGAGCAAAAAGAATGAAAAAGCTAATTGATCAAGATAAAGAAAGGGAGATTGCATCATGGGCAAACTTGGGGAAGATTAATTGATTTCCAGTTAAAAATTGAGTACGATCGTGTGAAACAAAACAAAAAAACACCTTTTTCTCATGCCGTTTTCCTTCAAGTCTTGACTTCAGTCCTCATTCTCCCACATCTTTCCAATGCTGAGTGGCACAGGAGGAATGGGGAACCCGTTAACAACAGTTACTTTCTGCTGCTGTTTTCTCTTCAGACTTTTCCCCTGCTCCAATGTGAGAGTCCCTCCCACAGGACACAGCCTTTCATGAATTGTTACACTACAGGAGTTTCCAACAGGCTGCAATTCTCAAAGAATCATTCCACCATGGGCCTCATCATGGGGTATAGTACTTCAGGAAAAAACTGCTATAGCGTGGGTGACCCATAACAAGCTTCAGCATGGAAATCTGCTTCATCGTGGTCCTCTAGGCTGCAGGGGGACAACCTGCACCACCACGGTCTTGTCCACGTACTTTTAGGAAAATATCCACTCTGGCATCTGGAACAACACTTCCTCCCACTCCTTTTTTCCTCACTTTGTGTTGTTTCTCTCATATTTTTTTTACCTCCTCTCTTACAGCTGTTTACTCCTTAAATTCATTATCATAGAGGCACTGTCAGCCAGTAGTGAGTCTGCTTTGGAGCCATCTGGAACTGATTCTGTCTAGTGTGTGGAGCAGCTCCTGCGCTCTTCTCACAGAAGCCACCTTTGCAGCTTCCTCAAACCTTTCTGTCTAAACTCAAAGAACATTTTATAATATGCTAAATAATACATAATATACTAAAAAAAAAACCACTAAAATCACATGCTTTAAAAAAGTCCATTGTATCTTTGCAATCACCTTTAATCAGTCAGACTGTGATCATATGAACATTCGGTCAGGTTTGTGTGAGAGGATCTGTTTCCCATTAAAGCAGGTTTACTGATATTCTATACTGCCTTTGTCTTTTTTTGGCAGAGCTTCATGCCAGTTTTCATTCCCCTGCCCAGACTACGGTCAGAGTAACTGACCCTCACTAATTTGTATTCTGTGCATGTTGCCACGTACTTTTCAGAATGCCGTACTTTAAAAAAGCCGTTGCTCAAACATCCTTGCTTTTATCTGTGAATTTGTGAACCTGGCACTGAAAGGTTGTTATTATTACGTAGAAGCTGTACACTCTAGTTGTTACAGAAGGATCTGGAAGATGAACTTCTATGAGCAGTTCTGTAACTGTGATATGGCACCTCTTTTGCTCCAGTGCAGTTATGTTCTGGTAAATGATGAGTTCTTGAAATAAATATCTCAAGATTGCTAGCTTGAATTAAAATTCTGGTAAGGATGAAAGACTGGAGTTTACTGAAAGACCTCTAGTTTTCAGCCGGGTATCCACAGTGTAGTGTGTTTTTCTGCTGTTAGATATCTTAATTCTCATCCTACTCTCACCCCACTTCTTCAAACTGAAAATTCAACATGTAACACAACGTGCATTTTGTGTGAAAACCACAAACCATCTCATTTACAGTAGAATTTTACAGCAGGTTACCTGACTGATTACCAGCCCACTTCTTGGCTGTGAAAACAAGATCAAAAAATGAGTCTGGTAAGGCATCCTGAGCACCTTGGAGTTTCAGGCAAGATTTTGCAATCAACAGAGCCATATTCTCCTCTGTTCAATTGTGTGAAGTTACACGGAAACCTAGGTTTGTACCTAGCCTCTGCTGTCTTAGAGATCTGTGGAGCAGCATCAGCGACTTGCTGTGCACAGCTAAAATCCCTCCTCCTTGTCTAGTGAAAGCCAGAAAGGCAGTTGTGAAAGGAAGGTGAGGCTGTAATATCAGAAAAACCAGAGAAAAGAGAATAGAGCTGCTGCTGAGGCCTTCAGCAGGCAGAAAGGTCAGCTTTTGTCCCCACTGCCCAGTTCACCCACACAAATGGGGCAGTGCCTGCTTTTGCTGCGTGCACACTTCCAAATGCAGTGTTAGTGTTCGCTGTTTTGTAGTAGAGCCTGCAAACCCCCAAAGTTCTGAGCCTCTTATTCTTATCTTCTACAAATCTTTCAAAAAGATCCCTCTGTTTTTTAATATGCAAGAAAGGCAGCTACTGCAGCAAATTTGATATTTTGTCATTTGCTCTCGATGTGCTTTTTATTAAAAATATTCTTATTTTGAATTTCTTTTGTTCACTGTCTTTGGCTTTTACAACATTTTGTTACTTCAGAATGTAGCTTCATTAACGGAGCTTTGTTCTTCTGTTCATTTGTGTGACAAAGAATTCTGGCAATAACATGACAGCTTATTGTAATTTGTTTCAAATATTTTTAATTTGTCATTAGTTACATTTACTTTATTTTGCTTTATTTTAGTTCTTCATTTTTTTTTCTTTTAGCACATTGATCTTTACTCTGAAGATAACCCTGAGCTTCTGTGAAAGCAGAAAAATGATTAGATATATTACTTATATTTGAGTCATAGTTTACACAGTTGCATGATTCAAATCATAAACCAGGTGGGTGACTTTTTTTGACAACCTATCCATTCATATGGTAACAAAAAACATGTTTCAAATAATCTACTGCATATGCCCTTTATAATACCTATGATTTGTTTGTATGTGTTGTTAGGGAGATTCAGAAATTAAAAGTTTATCTTTCCCAAGCAGAGGAAGAAAATGTTTTATTAACATTGTTGAAATGAAAATACGGGCTTTTATGCAATTATAGTTGCGAGAATACAACTAATTTTTATTATCAGATATTTATGGTTGCAGGAAATGTTTTAACTGTCTCTTTGATAAAGGAGACATTTTGCAAAAGAAATATATGTGATGTATTTTCTGTAACTTTCATGTTCTCTTGACCTTTGGATCCTGAAAGCAAACTGCAACACTGTCAGACCTGTAGGCGTTTGGGGCAGTACTTTTCATTAAATGGTCCTTGCCACACATACTGCATCGTCGTGCAAATGTGTAATTTATTGAGGTTTCTCAAACAGTTTTGTCTTACGGCTCAATTATAGAGTTCCTGCATAAAAGCAATGGTAATTAAATTAAATGGGTATTCTTTGTATGCATCAAATGCATAATTAAGTTCCCTGCATGTAGTTTTGCTCTTGCTGTTATGATTAAACTCAGTGGTACCACAGTCTCAGTTTTCCTTTCATTTATTCCAGCTGAACAAGCCTGGATTTTGTCTTTATTTATACCCAATATCAGTGAGACACCAACAAATATTCCTGACTGACTATGACATAAACAAAATCTGTTGCAAAGAATCAGCGCCTAAGGGAGCTCTAGCTTTTGGCTGGTGATTTCAGCAGTGTCAGCAAGTTAAGTTATGTTACTAGCTGGCCTCAGTAGGCAATACTCCATACACTGAAAAAGTAATGTGTCCATAGCACATCCATTGAAAGCTTTCTGCTCCTTATGTACAAAATTAAATGGCACAAACTGGGTGTATAGTACACATTATTTTCAATATTGTAGTTATATTGAATATTATATATTATATTATATTGATATTATAATATTATATTGAATATTATATTTATTATAGTTATATTGAATATTACATATTCAATATATATAATACAATATTATTTAAGTATTTGTATTTAACAAACTGTCACCCTCAGTTTTGAAAAGTCATCTGTAGAATTAATCTTTAAGTGTAAAATAATAGAATTTTGCTATGCTAAAATTTCATCGATATTCAGTAATCTATTTAATGCTCTGTATTCCGTGCACCTTTTGGATAGTTTCCCAACCCATGTGTGGTAAAGGCACAGTCATTTTGAAATGCATTGTTAGGTGATGGGATTATTAAACATCCTTACTTTGCACTGACACCAGAAATCAACTTCTGAATTAACATCCAAAACAAAATCTGTATTTAATGCTCATTAAGGCTAGAAAAAAAAATCTTGTAATCTGATTTTTTTCTCGGATAATACTCTCCAAATCCAGACCACAGTAGGGTACTCACTTCAGGGTTTTGCAAGAGTTGTAGCATTGGGCAAATGGGGAAGATACAAAGTAGCCTCAGGCCTTACTGAGGTTTCAGCGAAAGCTAATACTGATCAGCTTCTCACAAATAATACTTTGTGCCCTGCGTCTTCTTCTTCTACAGTCTTGTTAGACTGTAGAAATTTGGTATCCTGTCTGCTCTCTGACCTGTGTTCCCTCTCTGTGTTTCAGGTCGAGTTGGGCTGTGGAAAGACATCTTCACTGTTTCAATGAATGAGAAATTTGATTTAGTATATAAACAGAAGATGGGAAAATGTGACCTCACATTTGATTTTTATTTATAAAAAATGCATGCATATGATATCCAGATATAGCTAGAAGTGCTTTATGCATTCATTTATTACCTGCTGGACAAACTACTGTAGCTATTATGTGTAACAAGATTTAAAGAAAGAAAATCAATCTAAGTAAACCATAACAGATACAGTTATCTTTGATCCTAAACAGCTGTTTATTTTCTGGTATTTTAATTCTTCATCCACACACAAGAACTTCCTAGACAATACTAGAATATTCAGCTGCTATGGAATGTATTATATCAGTATAAGGTATGTATCATATATGCAACTAGAATGTACACCTTTTCAGCCCCACGTTGATTATTTAATATTTTATAAAAGCTTTTCACTAGAACCTAAATAACTGTCCATAAACCAAATAAATTATTTCAGAGGGAATCAAGTAACAGGCCAAAACTGTATGCTAGAATGATCTCAGGGGTTAATCATCATATTTATTTTTATAGCTGGTAAATCAAGTATAAATAAATCCCATTCCAAAATAGTAGCTGATTAAAGTGGGGTTCACACTAAGTTCCACGCACCCATATCTGTGTAATTTCTGAGTAGGTTCTGTGTACTGGCATACTCTGCAAGACAGGCCTTGTTATGAAATACAGCTGTGATTGTCACTCTAATCACAAAACCCACCCACGTTTCAGATGGATGTCTTCCTGATGGATGAACCTGTGTGACCTGGTTTAGGGAACCTGGTTTGGCAGGGGGGTTGGTCTCGATGATCTCTAGAGGTCCCTTCCAACCCCTACAATGCTGTGATTCTGTGAAGTTCAGCTCCATGCAGAAGGTCAGAGAACAGAAGCTTTTTATGTCCCCAGCTCTCACTCGGTCCCTCAAAACTGGGCTAAAAAGCATAACGTCTGATGCAGAGGTTTTTCTCCAGGAATCAGGCTGACTAATGTCGGTTTCCTGTGTAGATCTGAATTTCACCTGTTAGATAAGGAAGAGAAAATAAGGTGCTGGATATCCTCAAGTTCCACCAAAAGTTAAAAGCACGCAATACTATTTGCGCTACTGGACTCCATCACACCTAACTTAAGGCTGGTTGTGTGTGACACAGTAAGTAGGGAGAGGAAACAGCAGCACTGAAGGAAGAGAGTTTAAAAATACATCACCAGGTGGGAGTAGTGTATGCATGATAGTTTCAGTAATTGTAAGCTATGACTTGTCTGGATTATAATCAGAATTCAAGTTTATTACTTTATCTTTTTTATTTTCTATGACAGGTATGCAAACAGCCTGAAGTAGGCTACTATCGCTGTAAAGCTCTCCAGAATGATTTTATTCTGTTAGGTAATGACATCAATGCCTTTCAGGTTCTCAGCTGCAGGAGGCCCATTTTTGCTAGTCAAATATTCAATCTCACCAAAAGCTGTGAGGAAGGACTAGCAGATTTTTAGTGTTTCAGTTCTGTTGGGAAACAAACTGTCAGTTCAGCTGGCAAGTGGTGTAGCATGATGTGGCTTGACAGCACTTTTCCTTGTATATTTGTGAGTGAAAATGCTTTCTGTGAAATTTTATTTCTATTTTTATATTTTTAGTACTGTATGAATATTAAGCACTACACATTATACTTCTGTGCTTGCTCGCTTATTGAATAAAAGATGTGTTCCATGCGTTGTGGTTTGCTCATTTTGTAGCCCTCCTATTCAAGCCGTGTCATCTTGGGAGATGGATCCTCTTCACTACCAACACCTCCAGACTTAAGACAGGACAACTGCAGAAACACAATATCAAATCAGACCACTGACCCTGTGAGCTGTTTCTGACACTGCTAGTAACAAATGCCTATGCAAGAATGTAGTAGAGAGCATAGCATTCTCTGAGCATCTTTGTGTTTAGTAGCTCTTTGTGGAGTTTTTCTTCCTCTGTGCTGGAATTGACAGCATTCTGTGGTAATAGACTCCACACATAGTGCAGAAAAAGGACTTCCTTTGTTTGCTTAGGGGCTGCCATCACGCAGTATAATTTGATGTTCCTTTGTTCTTGAATTGTGGTGGCTGATACAGTCACTGTGCCATCCACTCAGGATTTTACACTTCTGTCTTATCTTACTTCTATCTCCCAGGCAGCCCTATTCTGGAGTCCTAGACTGTCATACAGAAGGCCAAAACCCACAAACTGGTAAGTCTTCAAGAAGGCAGGAGCAGAAGGAATAGTTGTCTCCTGTGTCTTGCTACTGAGAGGACAAAATTTCCCCACACTTAATGTGAGTTTGAGTCAGAAGAAAGATTTCATTAGCACAAAAAAATCCACTGAAGTTGCTTTAACGTAAGGACATACAAGTAATTTATCCTTACCAGTCACTTAAAAGGCTTCTTGTGTTTCTGAAGACACTAGTAGATCATATCCCCATTCTCAAGCACAGCCCATCTCCTTTGCTGCAGAAGACAACCACCCTCAGCCCTCAATCAAAAGCTGGTGGCTTCTAAACGCACATCTTAACACTTATGCCGATGTCTTCTAATGCCAAATTTAGTATATGCAGTCACCAGCTAACAAGCTGGAGGAGGAACGACTAGTTCGCTCCAAAGAAACTACATACTACAGACAGCAAGAGCTTCTATGATAATCCACTGTGTATCTACAACTATTCTGGAACTCCATATATTAGACAACAAAGTTACTGTGTGCTAAGAATCTGCTTTCCAGAAAGGCTCTCCTCCGCCAGAGTTCATCTCTCCAGTCCCTTGACCTCATTGTGAGCCATTCGGTGAAATTCATTCAAACCAGAAGCCTGCCCAAAGCCCGTTCCCATAGAAGCCATGCTGAAATTTTACCTTTGGATATCAGGTCTTTCCAAGCATTTCAATCTGTTAAAAGCAATAGGTGGTGAACTCCATGTTTTGACAGTGTGAACCTTCAGGACTCAACCAATGTCAGCATGACTCCTTGTACAAGTCCCTTGATCAAGTGCCCCAAGATGTACCTGTAGAGAATGCCTTACTGATATAAACTGAGTGTAAATGAAAAACACCATAAAATTAACTGTTATTTTTCCCCCCTCAACATTCGAATTTGCTAATTCTCTTCTGCTAGCTGCTACAAAATCAGAAGTCACTGTTAGTGCGATTTATCATTGTTATGTAGCTGGAACACATTTAGTGGTACAAATCAGCAAGATACAGGGGGAAGGTTTGGATGGTTTCATTGCAGTGGTACTTCAAATGGCCAGCAGTTGACCTGTAAAGCACTGAGTACTCTTACTATTAATTGGTACAAATTGGCCTTCATTTGTCATGTGCCTTCATGGACACACCCAATACAACACCTCCCAGGCTCAGTCCTTCACTTAGCAGGTGCACATTAAGCAGCACTCAAAAGTGCTAGCCAAAATTCTCTAGCTGCTACTTGTTAAAGAAATGGAAGCAGAGAAATAGGGTCAAAACCTCTAACCTGTTCTTTGTCAGCACTGGCTATCTACACTTGAAGCTTCAGCCAGGGGTGCCTAAAATATTGGCAGCATTAAGTGGCTTGCCTAAGTGCTGGCATGAAGAACCAAAATGGGAACTGATCTAGATAAAAAATGTTTGTGCAGTTTGGAATACAAGAGATTTAAATATTCTTTGCAGTGAAGTTGGGTAGTAAAGACGAAGTGTATGAGTGATCATTAAAGATTCTCAGTGTTTTTATATAAATTCATATATACAACATCGCATAAACAGTTCTGACAATAATAATAAAGATTCATAGGCCTAAATCACCATTATCATAAGCCATTCAGACTTGCTTGGATTCTAAGTAATGCCACTTAGTAGCTAAAAGCAAAGGTTTAGAGGGGGTCACATCATTTGCCTCTCCCATCAAAATACAAAGGCAAAATAGATTCAACAGCTGAATCAAATAATATTAACAAAACTACCACAGACTCAGTGACCCACAGAAAGGACATAGTACAGAAACAACTGTGTGTAATCTCACTGCATCCTTCTCAGCTGTTAGTGTGTTCACTCACTAATTTCCTTTAGCCACAGGATCTGCAGACTGCTGTCCTCTAGTGTCTGAATCACAAAACGTATGCAGATGTGTATTTTCTGCTGCTTGTAATGCTGTGTTTCACAAAGAGAAGACAGAAATAATTGCAACCAGCCATCGACTTTATTATGAAATGGAAAGGGGGTCTGCAAAACAAACACCTTATTTTAAAAATAAAACTTAAACAGATCTCATCATAATGAGGTTTAGACCTCAAGTGCTGAGTCACACTTTAATGAAATTGCTGTTCTGTCTTCAGGGAGCAGCAAAGAAATCAGCAGCAATTCCATCTTGGGTTCTCTCTATATAGATAACCTCTCACAAATATGGCAGAGCTACAGCAGATTCTGCAAGTAAACCAAACAAAACCTCTTTTCAGACCTCCTGCTTAACTCATACACAGCTGCATATAACACCCAGCTTCTTGAAAACATCTGAGCTGCGTGGACTTGCAAGAATGCACGAATGCAAGAAAAGTTTACAAAAATGCAGGGTAATTTTCTGTTCTTTATGACTTTATGTGAGAGTCATTCTCTGTTAGCCCGGTAGGATTCCTTACCATGAGCTAATTTTATAGACAGTGAAGCTGTTAATACCAAGAGACAAGAAGAAGCCTTTGTACTTCCTGTTAATGCAGGGACCTAATTGAGGTTCCTGCAACAAATCACTACTATAATTTTTCTGGATTTTGCAACTTCATCTGCTAGTAAATCATAATGCCACAAAACAACTTTTGTTGGAGTTCTCCCTGTGCACAGATGACAAGCTCTGGGAATACATGCTAGAACAGTTTTAAAAGCCATCACTTGCAGCTGTCCTCTCTGCCTCACTGTCAGAAATAGCCACTGTGGAGGGGAGACAGCAGATGCAAATGTGAGCTGCCTCCTCAGCTGCTGTAATGCAGTCTGACATATTAACTGAAACTGATAAGGGCGGTGGTTTCAGTGTAGGCTGATCTGTGGGCTGCAGTTGCAAGGAGACAGAGCATGTCCTGCAGTCCTGCACTTCACACAGTAGTAGTCTCCTCAAATCATCATAAATCTTCTTCTATGAGCTACAAAGAACCCACCGCACGGATGTTAAACCCACGGTCACTAGCTTTGGTCCCATAATCCAGCCTGTGCCAACACTGAACATAATACAATAACGTAATCCTCACACACAGTGGCAATGCAGCCAGTGTAACTGTGTGCTGTGACCACTGCCTTCACAAGCTTTACCTCTGCTTCCATACAGCTGGAAGAAGGCTGCCGTAGACACATGAGCGCAAAGCACTAGGCATGAGCACTCTGGTCAGAACAACAACAGAACCAAGGAGAACATCTGGATTTCAAGCCCCATAGTATTTTATTTATGCCTCATCAAAAGAACAGGGCTTAGTGAATACAGAAAAACGTATCAGACAAAGGAAGGATGATGCTGACTGCTCCCTGCCAAGGAGGTAGGACCCATACCCACAAAGGAGGGCCAATAGTAGGCTTCCAGAGCCCAGAAATCAGGGTTTCCGTGCATGGCAGGCCCCCTAGGGCACACTCATCCCTCCTTTGGCCACTCCATTGGATCTAGATGAAATTTTAAAGTCTCTTCCAAATCAAGAATCATTCCATGATTCTATTACTCAAATTTTTGAAGTGTTCATCCTGCAGATTATCTGTCAGGACATACTGAACCTGCTTGTGGAAAACAGAAAGGTTGTGGATGCCCCATCCCTGGAGGCATTCAAGGCCAGGCTGGATGTGGCTCTCCCTGTGCACAGACGACAAGCTCTGGGAATACATGCTAGAACAGTTTTAAAAGCCATCACTTGCAGCTGTCCTGGGCAGTCTGGTCTAGTGGTTGGTGACCCTGCACATAGCAGAGGGTTGAAACTACATGATCATTGCTGTCCTTTTCAAATCAAGCCATTCTATGATTGTAAGATACTATGAATCTCCGTTCCTCGCTTTACAAAAGCAGTGTGAGCCCACGCTGAGCCCCGCATCCAAAAGGGGCCCGCCTTACTGCCGCCACGCTAACGGCGGGCCCCTCTGCCCAATCAGGAGCGAGGAGCGTCGTTACTATGGCAACAGCGTCCTGGTAACTGCAGAAGGCGGAAGTAGAGCGGGGTGTTGCCATCACCGGTGACTCTGCTTCCCGCCTCCGCTGGGCGGCATGTAACATCTGCACGTGCCGGACCCAGAGCCCGCAAGGAGATTCGTCTGGAAGCAGCAGGATCCGCTCGGAGTGGAGTGACAGAAAGGCCCCGTGTCGTCCGATGGGAAGGCAAATAAAAAGGTTATCTTAGAAGGTGACCGACTGCCGTTTTATTGGCTAAGAAGTAAATGCACAGGCGGTGTAAGCAAGGGTGCGCGGCCTGGAAAGAGTACAGGGATGGCCTCTGGAGGTGTAGAGATGTAATCAGAAGGCCAAGGTGCAGATGGAACTGAACCTGGCAAGGGATTTGAAAAATAACAAAAAGAGATTCTGTAGGTGCATTGGTCAGGAGAGAAAGGCCAAGGTGAGTGTATCCCCTCTGATAAAAGGAGAAGTGGTATCAACAAACACGGAGAAGGCTAAGGTACTCAATGAGTTCTTTTCTTCAGTCTTCACTGGGCAGTTGGGCTTCCCACATCTCTCACATCCCTGAACATCTAAGCAGAGG